CCTCTTCAGGTTCTGGTTCTGTTCCAGTCTGTTGGACCTCTTCAGGTTCTGGTTCTGTTCCGGTCCGTTGGACCTCTTTAGGTTCTGGTTCTGTTCTGGCCTGTTGGACCTCTTCAGGTTCTGGTTCTGTTCTGGCCTGTTGGACCTCTTCAAGTTCTGGGTCTGTTCTGGCCCGTTGGACCTCTTCAAGTTCTGGTTCAGTTCTGGCTCGTTGGACCTCTTCAGGTTCTGGTTCTGTTCCAGTCCGTTGGACCTCTTCAGGTTCTGGTTCTGTTCTGGCCTGTTGGACCTCTTCAGGTTCTGGTTCTGTTCTGGCCTGTTGGACCTCTTCAGGTTCTGGTTCTGTTCCAGTCCGTTGGACCTCTTCAGGTTCTGGTTCTGTTCTGGCTCGTTGGACCTCTTCAAGTTCTGGCTCTGTTCCGGTCCGTTGGACCTCTTTAGGTTCTGGTTCTGTTCTGGCCCGTTGGACCTCTTCAGGTTCTGGTTCTGTGCTGGCCCGTTGGACCTCTTCAGGTTCTGGTTCTGTTCTGGCCTGTTGGACCTCTTCAGGTTCTGGTTCTGTTGTTTCAGCAACCAGTTCTGGAACTGACGCTGGTTCTGGAGCCAGCTGTTGTACTTCAGCTGGTTCTGGTTCTGGTTCTGGAACAACCTGGAAAAACAAACAGATGAGAATCAGACCTGTCGTCATGACGACCACAGCAGTGGACATCTGAGTCCTGGATCCGGGTTCTGGTCCTAGCAGAACCTGAAGCTGATCCGGTCCTGCCTACAGAGGTTCTGGTGACGGTTATAGTCCTGCTGATCCGGTTCTTTGGACCGGACCTGTCAGGGTCCAGTTACAGACCGGATCAGTTTACCTGCAGCTGACAGAGTCCTTCAGTCCTGTCAGAACCCTGGACCCGGTTCAGACTGTAGGCCCGGTTCAGAACATGGCTCTGACCTGCAGAGACCTGATCCAGGATCTGCAGCGAACCGTTTGGGTCGGACCAGAACCAAAGTTCCACTGATACCTCACATCAAACTGACTAACCCTGACCTGGACCAGAACCTCTAGACTGGACCAGAACCTCTAAACTAGACCAGAACCTGGGAAACGCACGCACACGCGCACACACACACACACACACACACACACACACACACACACAGAGACAGAACAACAGTTGTGTGTCCAGTAGAACAAGTGGTCTTTATGAAGCAGCTGTGGTGGTCCTGACTGTCTGGACTGGTGCCAGTGGACCACAGCTGCCTCCAGGCTCGGATCAGAACCAGAACCAGTTTTAACAAAGTTTAATTAATTAGATTTGATGATTTCTGTAAAATAAGTTTGTTTTTATTCAGAAACATTTTTATAAACTTCAGTGAGTAAATAAATAATCTGATTTATGAACTGATGGTTCTGACCTTAGAGTCCGGCTCGTGCTGGTTCTGACCCACTGGAGCAGGTGGTTCTGGTCCAGAGTGCAGTGGTTCCTTGGCTCCAGCTGAGGAAGAGGAGGAGTTTGGATTCTTCAGCAGAGATGAAGAAAAGTAAAGGAGAACCAAAGTGAAGAGCAGAGCCGGGAGCAGGAAGACCAGGTCCAGGTCCAGGTCCA